CTGCAAATAACTCTCACACTGGAGGTTGTGTCCGGTGAAGAGCCTCTGATGCTTAAGCCAGTATGTGTAGGAGTATACTGGAGTTGAATAATGGAAAAATCGTGTTAAGGAAGAAAGGCTCACCCCCTTTATATAGGAGTGAGATACCTGACCTAAGGCTGCCTAGATTTGGTGAGCTGACTGCCCAAGCTGCCTGTTCGTACTCTGACACACCGCGCGCATGTCAGAGGTGGCGCGGGGCGTTGGGAGCTGTCAGAGGTGGTTGTCGCTATCAACCAATGTATTCTCGACACGTGTCCTTCTGCACATGGAGTGAATATTCTTCTTAAATTCCGTTAGAGACTCTTACACGCGCCTGTGACTAGGCCGATCTACGAAGTGTTTAGTCCACGAAATGGTCGACCTGTTGAGGTCGACTAGGCTGCTCGATCATTTTCCTTGTCGAATGATGGATTGGTCGACTGCTTAACTGGTCGACTGATTGAGTGGTCGATCTTTCCGCCACTTGGCTCGGCGTCTTCACAGTTCAGCCCTTTCGACCGGTTTGGCAGACCAGTTTAGCCTTGTGTGTATAATATCCTATATCAAACGTATTTTCAAAATACGTTTTACAAAAATGCGTTTTAGATTTATTATTTTTTTAATATTTGAATTTTAAGGATTTTTTTTTAATTTACAAAAATAATTATAAAACGTATTCTCGAAATACGTTTTTCTAATTAATTTTTTTTTTGAACGTATTCCGAGAAGTCTGTTTGATTTTTGTCCACTCATTTTTTTTTATTTTTTTATTTATTTTTATTTTTGTCCATTTATTTATTAATTTTTTAAATAAATAAACCACCCAACTAACCCTATTACATTATCCAAAATTAACACTCATCAACTAATGAAAATAATTTTTATGGAGATTTTTATATCCAATCACCCGCTAAAACTTTAATGTTATGTCATTTTCACTTTGTCTTCAAATCTTAATCAACTTACTAGAAATGATTACACGACTTTTTTTTTTTTTTTTTTTTT